TACAAAAAATTACAGAAAAATACAAAAAATACAGAAAAATTCAGAAAAATACAGAAAAATATAGAAAAATACAGAAAAATACAGAAAAATAGAGAAAAATACAGAAAAACACAGAAAAATACAGAAAAACACAGAAAAATACTGAAAAATACAGAAAAATACAGAAAAATACAGATAAATTATAGAAAAATACAGATAAATTATAGAAAAATACAGATAAATTATAGAAAAATACAGATAAATTATAGAAAAATTATCTAAAAATACAGAAAAACTATAGAAAGCTTACAGGAAAAATACACTTCCCCAATAAATTAACGCACCATCAAAAAATAACAAACAGTTTAAAGTAAATATTTGTCAAAACGACTTGTCTGATTTGGACGATTTTTTTTTTAAGTGAAAGGTTGTCTCTTACACAACGTCGGTGTGCTGTGTTTGTATAAAACCCTCTTTTTTATTAATACAGGGTGTATCAATTATAACGTGATTTTTTCATAAAAGTTGTAACACCCTGTAGAGTGCAACAGTTACATTATCAAGTTAGAATTGATCTCACAATGTAGCCTTATCTATTCTTAACAATTTCTTTTCTTATTTACTCCATTATCTTTGTTATTATTTGAGAAACATTATTTTATAACATAACATGATTTTATTAAAAATTAATATCAATATTTAACAATGAAAACACGAAACAAAATGTAACGAAATAAGTGTCAGTAGCGAGTATTTCCGCCTCTGGCACGAATAACTTCTTGACAACGGTGGCCCATACTTAAAATAAGAGACCTTATGTCATTTTGGTCCAATTCTTCCCATATTTGAATCAGTCTCTGCCGTATATCTTCCAGAGAGTTCAGATTACGTTCCTCTTGTAATCTCCTCCCAAGAGTATCCCAGAGATTTTCTATCGGATTTAAATCCGGGCTCCGAGCTGGCCATGCCATGGTAGCGATACCAACTTCCTCTAGATAATTTCTCACAACTCGAGCAACATGAGGCCTGGCATTATCTTGCATCAACAAAAATCCCTGCCCTATATATGGTGCAAATGGAACTACATGTTCGTCTAAAATCTCCAATATGTACTTGTCAGCTGTAAGGCTTCCATTTAAGATTACAAGTTCTGTGCGACCAGTCAAAGAAATGCCTCCCCAGACCATCAGAGATCCTCCTCCAAATAATGTTGTATGTGAAAAATTACACTGAGCATACCGTTCATTAGGGCGTCGGTATACGCGCATACGCCTGTCATTGTTATACAGACAAAATCGAGACTCATCAGTAAATAATACCTGTTGCCATTCAGCTTCTAACCAGTTACGATGCTCTCTGGCAAAATTTAGCCTTGCTCTGCGATGAACTCTAGTTAGAACTGGACCTCGAGCAGCTATTCTAGGCCTCAAATTATGTTCCCTTAGTCGCTGACGAACAGTTTCTGTACAAACTTCTAAACCATTAGTATCCCGAAGCTGGGTTTGAAGGGTCCGAGCTGTTACAAAACGTTGTCTTAAGGCTGACAGTCTTAAAAATCGATCCTGAATCGGAGTAGTTACTCGGTTTCTTCCATGTCCCGGCCTACGACCATGATTTCCAGTCTCTCTACATCTTTGTATAACTCGTGAAACGGTTGTGTGGGTTACGTCAAATCGTTCACCAATTCTTCGGTAACTCCAACCCTCTTCAAACAATATTAAAACTTGAGCACATTCTTCGCGAGTAAGACTTCGTGGCATACTGTTTAATAATTTTTTTTGCAAAAAATGGCGAATGAACTAAATTCTGACAATACCCATCTGTATTTGACAATTACTAGTTTTTCCATAGCATGCTACTTACTTTAGTGCTTATAATGCTAATGCAAATGAATAAAGTCATGTTAAGTTATAAAATTGAGTTTCTCGTGTAATAGGAAACATAATGGAGTAAATAAAAAATGAAATTGTTAAGAGAAGATAAGGCTAAATTGTGATATCAATGCGAACTTGGTAATGTAACTATTGCGCTCTACAGGGTGTTACAACTTTTATGAAAAAATCACGGTATAATTGCTACACCCTGTATTAATAAAAAAGAGGATTTTATGCAAACACAGTTAGCAAACCGACGATGTGGAAGAGGCAACCTGTCATTTAAAAAAAAAATCGTCCAAAACAGACAAGTGGTTTTGACAAATATTTACTTTAAACTTTTTGTTATTTTTCGATGGTGCGTTAATTTATTAGGGAAGTGTATTAAAAAAATTCAAAAATATAACAAAAACACGTTACTTACTTTATTTAATTGCCATGGGGCAAGTGTGTAGTATACTACACACTTGTCCATACACACCAGTTTTCTGTGGGGCAACTTGATTAGTAAATAAAATTTTTAGGTTATATTTAAAAAATACAAAAATATTTGGAAAACTACGAAAAGACTTACTTTTTCAACTTGCTATATCGATTTAATTGATAAAATCACTTTGATTTTTGAGGACGACGGCAGATTAAAAATTATTAACCAAATTGTGTTCAGTGCCCCACTGTCATGTGTTTTCTTTGGATACCACTACGTGTCTAGGAATTATTTGAGCTCAAACATTCTACATTAGAAAATGACATAACATGTAGTTGTACCCTTTTTGCTCATAGATGGAGCCACAATAAACCACCGAATAGAAGTTATGATGCCTCTACACACCTCACCTTACTATAAAAATTTTTTTTATTAAAAATTTTTTTTGCAGTTCTTTGGAAATATTGAAAATAAATCAGTCTTATATTGTATATTTACTGATAATGGTGATTACCTAACATGTACATAATTTTAAGTTAATATCTTTACCTTGAGAGAAGATATTCAAAAAAGTATGCATTTGTAAAAATGCCTGTATCACCGTGAGAATGAAAACTGGCACGTTTACAAGAAAACGACCACTTTCTTTCAGTTCATCATCTTTTGGCAACGTAAAGACCAAAAATTTAAATTAATAACCAATTTAATTATTTTGGCCAATGTATCAAGTAAGCTCTCCTATCTATTATGTAATTACATATTATGAAACGTGTGGTGTAAAAAAAAATAAAAAAATCTTGGCAATGTTCCACATTGGACGCAGTTTTAAAACGGGTCTCATTCTAATTGCAGACATGAAGTTTATGTATATAGTTACATTTAAAATGTGTTTTAGTACTGTGATACGTGGACTATACTTTTATTTATCTATCCAGCGCTCATAGAAGTTATAAGAAAGAAACTTTATGACATATTTTGTACTTTCCTTGTGCTTCTTGTGAATTTTTAAGAAATTTAAATGTTTTGCTAGAAACCAAGCAAAAGCAGTTACTCTTGATTTTGTTAAAAAAAAACATGTCAGGATTGCCTATCTTTGTTCCTGACGACTTAATAACTTTATTTCTACCTCATATCTAAAAAAACGACATAATTATATAATGCAATTAAAAAAGTTTATGTTGAACCAATCAAACATGAAATACAACTTTATTATTTCCAAATAAGTAACTAAGTAATTATAAAGGAAATTCAATATTTAGTGTACTCTAAAAATACATAAGGGATGTACCAAAAGCCTTTAAAATATACATACAAAGAATTCGCGGCTGGTACATACAGGGTGTCCCAATAGTGTGTGGAAGTTCCTATATTATAGAAAATATCATACAGTGTTATTTACAAAAGTTGTAGATAATATTAATCTGCACATTTCAAAATTATTTTCGATTATACAGAGTGATCCTTAACTTCAGAATTGATCAAACCTATGTTTTTTTTTTAAATGGACCACCCTGTATTTTATTGTAAATTTGAATTCCCCTGACTTTGCCCTTCAAGAAAATACCAACATGTATGAGGTTATACTGGGTATTTTGGAAGTTTAAACCAATTTTATACGAAAATCGTACTAGGTTCAACCCTCTGTATATTTCAAAAGAAACAATCGAACATCAAAATTTGTTGATGAATGATTTTTAATGATAGTCTACTTTTATAAGAATATACTAATTTTTTCCTAGCGCAACAGACGTATACAGGGTGAGTCAAAACTCAGATACATGATTTTCTCAATTTTTTATATCACTACTAAAAAGTACTCTAATTATACGTTCGTTTGAGTTAAATATTGCCTATCCCTAAACACAGTTTAACGAGATTCTTAGATGAAATGTTAAAAAGGGTTAATTATAACTAAATTCACAATGTAATTTGATTTAAACTACTGTTAAATATTACATACTAGTTACTAGTTAATCAGTTTATATTTTTAAGGTACCTGGTACAATTTTTTATCAACTTTTAGGACCTTTACAACTTATATAAAATGCAATGAAAAAGTCAACAGAACTGTGCATTAGGTCAAGTGGGCTTTGAAATTCATGTCAAAAGAATAATTTGACAGTTCCGAATTGTTTAAATAAAAAAATAAAATTACGTTTAGTGTATTTAAATTTATTGATTTGACTAATTTAAAAATTAATTTTAAAACGAATGAATTGACTGATATGATTGTAGTGCTAGGGGCTAGTGATGAAAATTGCTTGTTGGCAATTAGAATTTATAAGCAAAAATATCCTGATCGCCGGCAACCTCGTAAAGAAATTTTTGAAAATCTGTTGGAAAGATTCAACCGTATAGGTAATGTAGCATATCAAAAAAATAGTAGAGAAAAACGAACTTTAAATGAACAAAATGAACTCAGTATTCTACTTAGTGAAAATCCAAACACCAGTACACGCATCATGGAAAATGAAACGGGAATAAGTAAATCATCTATCAATAGAATATTATTAAAAAATAAAGTACATCCATACCATATCCAACGTCATCAGGAGCTTCTTGAAAACGATTTTCAAAAAAGAATAGCTTTTTGTGAATGGGCAATAGAGAGCATTAATAATGATTGTGTACTTTTTGAAGATGAATCAACATTTCACAAAAACGGTTTCGTCAATAGACACAGTTTTCATTACTATTCCACCACCAATCCTTCTGAGTTAATGACACATAGCCAAACACGATGGTCTATTAACGTTTGGGGTGGTATATTAGGGGACTATGTCATAGGACTACATTTCTTTCATAGTCGTGTAACTGCCGAGGTCTACTTAGACTTTCTGCAGAATCATCCACCACTACTACTGGAAAATGTTCCACTAAATATAAGACGCCGAATGTGGATATTACATGATGGAGCTCCTGTACATCATGCTCAACAAGTTCACAACTTTCTGAACCATAATTTTGAAAACAGGTGGATTGGAAGAGATGGTCCAGTTATGTGGCCTCCCAGGTACCCTGACCTCACTAAAGTAGATTTTTTTGGTAGTATTTCGTAAAAAACGAGGTTTATAAAACTAGTCCATTAACTAGCGAGGAAATGAAGGAAAAAATAGGACAAGTGTTCGCGAGCATAGATGTACAATGTTTGAAAATCGTTCAAAGATCATTTGAAGCTAGATTACAACATTGTATTGCAGTTGGAGGGAGCCACATTGATCAGCTTTTATAATAGCTTTTTTTTTCATTTTTTAATATACTAATGTTGCATTCTAAAAAAATTAAAATAACTTATTTTTGGCTCATATTTTTTTCATTCAAATATAAAATATCTTCTAAACTGTTGTGTTTAGGGATAGGGACAAACGAATGTATAATTAAAGTACTTTTAGTAGAGATATGAAATACAGGGCGAACCTAACCTTAAAAGTAAAGAAAGTAAATTCAGTTGATAATAAATTGTAGCTAGGTACCTTAAAAATATAAACTGATTAAACAGTAATTCTAACAGGAGTTTAAATCAAATTACATTGTGAATTTAGTTATAATTAACCCTTTTTAACGTGTTTAGGGATAGGCAATATTTAACTCAAACGAACGTATAATTAAAGTACTTTTTAGTAGTGATATGAAATACAGGGTGTTACATTTTAAAAAATTGAGAAAATTATGTATCTGAGTTTTGACTCACCCTGTACACGTCTGTTGCGCTAGGAAAAAATTAGTATATTCTTATAAAAGTAGACTATCATTAAAAATGATTCATCAAAAAATTTTGATGTTCGATTGTTTCTTTTGAAATATACAGAGGGTTGAACCTAGTACAATTTTCATATAAAATTGGTTTAAACTTCCAAAATACCCAGTATAACCTCATACATGTTGGTATTTTCTTGAAGGGCAAAGTCAGGGGAATTCAAATTTACAATTAAATACAGGGTGGTCCATTTAAAAAAACATAGGTTTCATCAATTCTGAAGTTATGGATTAGTCTGTATAATCGAAAATAATTTTGAAATGTGCAGATTAATATTATCTACAACTTTTATAAATAGCATTGTTTTATATTTTCTATAATATAGGATATATCGAACTTCCACACACTATTGGAACACCCTGTATGTCTATCAATATACTTTATTTTAGTTGAAAATTCCATTATTAAAACGAAATTTGGAAATATAATTTTTGTTTTAAATATATTTAAGACGGTCCTGTAAATATTAATGATCAGCCTCATAAACAAGGCACAATTTTTGCTACTTTTAATACTAAAGCACCAGTATTTTCAACTGTTTAAGTTTAGGATATGCGTATTGCGTATAGATTGAACGGCCTTTCATTTAATAGTATTTAACGAAAAAACATTTATAAATCGCTTCGTATAATTTATAACCATGATAAAAGCAAAATTAACAACTGTGAAATATATAACCACTAATAGGTAATAATTTTTTTCAAGCAATTAATTAATGTTATTTTGAAATTATCCTTTTCTTCTTTTCAATAAATAAAAGGTCGATGAAAGTTTGTAATAATAACGAATTGAAATTATATGCCATTCATATTTTATTGCCGTGTATTGAATGGAGTTCACAGGGGGGCGTTAAAAACGCTTTCGCTTTTTATGATTAATGGCTAAAGAAGCAACGAAGGATTAAGCAATAATTGTCTAATTTGAGCCCGCTGTGTCCTATTTCTTTAAAATTATATTAGCTTTAGACAACTAGTTGACACTTTCTACTCTATTTTTCAAAATATTTGCCGGTTTGCGTATTCTGTTTTGATGTGTGAATCCAAATTTCATTGATTTGTTTTGTTACAGCTTGAAATAATTCTTTTTATCCAATTTTGACACATTAAAATGACTTTATCAATTCCATAACAACAATAACAAATAGAGTTTTCTTCACTAGCAACTAAAAGAGTGAGTTAAAATTTTTTTAAGTCACTAGTACTTAAAAAACTTTTAAGTCACTATTAGTTAACCTAATAATGTACCTATATTACTGTCGACAGCCAAATGTGGAAGTCGCTATTTAGGTATCGATATTAGCACTCTTTAGGCATGTGTGCATATATTATGTAAAGCCAATATAATAAACAATGGAATCAGTCTAGCGGCTCGCGATCTAATTTCTTTTCACGAATAAAAATTCATTTAACTCACTTGGTGTATAAATATCTATTATTAATCTATCTATTTTTCTCTCTATTCACCCTCTCTTTTCCATACTACTTGATGAGGTCATCCGTCATTTTAGACAAATCATATTTATCTCCTTGGGTCATTACTAATTCATTATTATAATATATATCGTTAATAAATAATATAAATAATAAAGGGCCCAAGTTCGAACCCTGTGGCACCGCTGATTTTGCGATATACTCAAATGATTTGAAGCCATTTATATACACATACTGTTTACGGATTTGAAGATAACACATGAAATCCGAATAATTTTAATTTAGTGAGCAAGGTTCCGTGATCCAATGTGTCAAACGTCTTAGTAAAATCTATGTATACAACGTCCGTTTGCTTCTTACTGTTAATATTCTGGGCAATGTTGTGTTACGTTAACAAGATTAGTTAGCGTTACATTACATTACAGATATTGGTCTATAATTGGTTACATCATTCCTATCTCCCTTTTTGAATATAGGACACACTTTCGATGTCTTCCACATATCTGGAACGGTAGACGTTTTAAGACATATATTTTTTAACAACACCATTAGAGGATAAGCAAGGGAATATGCACAGTCTTTAATTAGAAAAGTCGGAATATCATCAGGATTCAGGATCTCTAGTTATGACAATAGAAAGCACAAGAAGATGACTTTCTGTAACGATAGTAACTAAGATCAATATTTGGGGCTCGCCAGGCAGAGCAAACTGCCTAGGTCAAACAAAAATCATATAAACCCCTTTTCTATAATAATAAACCAAAAATTCTGAAATTAGATTTTCAATAAAACAGTTTGTCACACTATTTTTATAAATGCATTGTCTTTGATGTAAATCGGTGGTATACATTTCATTCCAGCGCCAAGATTCGTTGAAAAGACAAATATTCAGTTGCCAAATTTCAATATCTGGTCAGTTAGTGTAGAGCTTGCTAGCCGGAAAACAAATTTAAAAAAAAACGATGCATTTCATTCGATCTGTTGTATTTTCAACAACAAATTTCCTAATGAATTGAACTAATTTTGGAAAGAGCAGTGGCGCACCACTATATTTTAATAGGAGATATAACAGCAATTAATTCAAAAAAATAGATTAGATTAGGCCCTCACGCGGTAGTTTGTGAAGAGTATTATAGGTTTATTTTCAAGGAAACAAAATTTTTAATATTGATCCAGATTTAAAAATTTTTGTACCAAAATCCTTTTTATAAAAATTTTAAACAATTTTTACAAATGTCTGTTCGATGTCACGTTTTTCGTCCCCACAATAAGTCAAAAACGAAAAATGATATCAACTTGATATTTTTCAATAAAAATCAAAGTCTATAAGGGGACGAAGCCAATTAACTTTCAAAAAATTGTTTAAAAATGAGGGTGTTATGGGTTTTTTGGTAAAAACTGCTATCTCCATCGCCTATAACTTTTACATATTTTAATTTGTGCATTTTTATACTATTAGGGGAAGTGTGCCCGAGTTGGCATACATTTCGTAATTATTTTTGGAGTTTACGGGCTCAAACTTGGTAGTTATATAAAAAAATACCTAGCCTAACTGTGTTTTTTAGTTAAGCATTTTTATTTTTAATCTCACTTCAGTAAGCCATCTCAGGCTGAATATTTCGGGTAAGATGGCATAGTATGCCATCTTGCCCAAACTACCAAGTTACTTGAAGTAAATAAATATAAAATGAGATTTAATTATCAAAAAAAGTTTATTCAAGTAAAAATAAAAATTAAATGTAATGTAATGCTTAACTTATGCAGAGTCAGGTACAATTATTAGCACCTAAAATTAAAATTAACAGAGCTTGAACATATAAAAAACAAATATTATTTATCAAAAAAAGTAAAGTTTAGTCAAAGTAGGGAGAAGGTACCTAAGCTAAACACAGGGCTCACATATATACTGCTTTTTTTTGAAGGGACAATCTGCACATTCGCAGTGGGCCCATTTCTTACAAGACAAGCAACGAATCCATTTTTCGTTTGGTTTGGAACGAGAAATTAGTCCATTGCATAAGATGCAGACTGTGTCATCTTCATCGTCACTGATCTCTGTCTCTCATTGCATGGTCGGTATTAAACTGCGTGCAATTATAGCAGTTTTTCTAGGTTCAGGTTTAGTTTTTGAATTAGTATCGTTAAAAATTTTAGTTTTGACTTTTTTGCCTCCTTTCTTGCTAACTCAGCATTTTTTCGGCAGTTTTCATTTTTAAAAGTTCTATTTCGGGGGTTGTATTTAAGACGCCATATTTAGAAAGGTTGTTCCGTTTTCTTTTGTTGCTCGTAGCAGTAGCTTTTGGTGAAGGTGAAATTTCTGAGCAAGATGTTGCTGAAAATTTATTTGTTTCTTTTCCGACTTTTTTCTGTAATATTTTGTTTTGTATACCAGATGGCTCGGTTACCTGCAAATTATCTTCTGTATTGAAATTTTCATTTTCATCAATAAAAATCATATTGTAAATAGAAAAAAAATCAGCTACAAACTCGTTTTCCAAAAATCGATGTCTGCAAATTGATAAAATTTAATATTAATTTTTTGTGAAAATGAAGCTCTATAAGGGGATTAAGCCTATTGGTCCTGACAAAAATTGAACAAAAATGGGGGTTGAAATATTAAAGAAAAACTTAAAAACGAAGTCTGTTGTTTTTAAACTGTGAATGGCAAGCGAGTATGTTCATTCTAGTTTTTCAAAGAATAACATTTTAGCTAGAATTGGGAAACATGAATTATTTGATAAAACTTTAAAAATAAATGTGTTATCCGCGATTACTTCATTTTTATTCACACTACCCACTTACAGTGACCAATCGTTGCCAAAATTTGTCAACATAAAATCATGCTTTTCGAGAAAAATATAATAGATTTTTAAATTTAAAATGAAAATATTTCTTATGACGGTAGTTTTGAAGTTTTCCACCAACTATTGATAGGAAAATGTTTAGTTAACAACTAACCTGTTATATATTGTAATTACGCCACTGCAGTGTGGATATCTTTAGCTACATGTTGCTCTCACTGCGTCGTCCACAGGAAAATAAATTAACAACTTATTCCTGTAGTGGTTGCCTAGCACTCATCAACGCCGGTTTGCCGCCGGTCAATTTTTTTGTTTTATCATTTTTCTTTTAGTTTAGTTTTGTAGTGATTTAGTTTTTTTTCCCTTTCGTTTCGTAACGTGTTCTCCACCTGGGAAAGTTATAAAACCTTATTAACTGCCGGTCCGGTTATTTTTTGTTGTTGAATGTGTTGTTTATCTATGTGTGGTCAGTGCAATAGTTGCAGTGCATTTTTATTCGTTTTATTTTTTAAATAAATTATGATAATGTGATTATGTAACGTATTGGTTTAAGAAAAATGTCTAACAACTGGCTATTTCTATGAAGGTATTCCAGAACAAGCGTAAAAAAAATGTGCAGTTATTGATTTAGATTATCTCACTTTTTTTTATAAATTACACATTCTATTACAAAGAAAAATTTACAAACTTTCGGCTCTATGTTAATACAAACTTTTAACAACTAATTAAAGGAAAAAATGATTTTAGTTTCACATTTTCAATTTTAAAAGTGTACTAAAATATTAGTGCAAATTTAATTTTTCGCCGCGTTGCCAGATTTACCTTTGCGCGGCTAGAAACTCGAGTAATTCATTTTCATATACAGGGTGTTAGTATAATCGATCAACAACACTCTATCCCAGAGATCTCTCGTTATAGGGTTTAGTTATAGAGGTACAGGGGTCTATTCTGTAACACATCCGGTAAAATTTAGAGGCCTTTAAAATATTAACGGATTCCCTTAAAAATGACAGGAGAACACTTGACAACATCGATATTAAGATTCATTTGAACTAATTTTGAAGGATTAGCAGAATAACTTTGAAAACATAACCATACAAACCAGGGTTGGAAAAAATCTAAGAAATTAAAAATATATGAGTAGGTTTTTAGGTTATTTAGGTTTTATAGGTTTTTTGTTCATATATATGTCAAAAGTTATTATTAATAAAGTTAAACAAAAAATACAAGTAAAACTTGAAAAATAGAACTTTATTGTATTAAATAAATCACATTCTGCAAACAAAAAAGTGAAAAATATATAAATTTTATTTTTTTTTAATTGTCACTATCATTAATATATAACGTTTGCATTTTGTTTTTATATACTCATTTTTGCATTTTTTTTTAGTAGTAAAATTGTGAATTTCTAATATTTATCTTTAAAAAAAAAACCTAAAAATGCATAATTTTTACTTTTAGGTTTTTTTAAAAACCTAAAAACCTAGGTGCAAAAAACCTGTACCTGCCAACCCTGAATTACAAACCTTTAATTTTCAATTAAAACCAAAACCTACCTACATATATTTAAAATAAAAAATATTCTGCGCACCAAGAACTACTAATAACCAAAAAGAGTTGATGATAAACTTTTTAGAACTGCAAAATTTCACGGTAGAAAATAAACCCAATAGATATAACGAAATTGGCTCTATAATATTAACTATAGTTCTGGCTACAACTATAAAAACCGAAATAATAGTTTGTTCAACAAGAGTGGATATGATGGCCATATCGCACGAGCACCATCAGCAAACAGGTGAATGTCACATTGACCTTTAAAATCAACAATGTCATTGATATACACTAAAAATAACAGGGGACCCTATTTGCTTTCCTGCGGAACACCTCTGATATAGTTAATTTCCTGACAAAATGTTATTTACTTTTAACTTTTTTTTCCTCTTACTTAGATAATCCACACACCACTCCAATGCTTGCTCTAGTATACCCATACTTTTCAATTTTTTTATCAAACGCTTTTGATCAACAGTCTCGAATGCCCTTTGAAGATCTATAAAACTGCCAATGTTAGGTAGTTTTTATCAAATTTATATTTCCAATCATATAAAACATAAAACACACTGGATAGCTGATTCACAGTTATGTTTGCTTCTGAAGCCCGATTGTATTCTAGTAATAAGTTTATTTTGTTCTAAAAAATTAATAATTTGTTCATAAACGACCTTCTCAATAATTTTTTCGATACAACTTAACATACTAATAGCCCTTAAATCTGTGACAAAATTATCATATTTTGCATTAATGTCTTAAATATGATAGTTCCATGCTAATGTTGAAAAGTTTGTTATTAATTAAATCAAAATTTAAGTCCTTACCTCTGCTTTCAATTTCAAAAACAGATCGCCCATCACTATTTAATAGCACATTTGTTAAAAGCATAAAATGATCTGAAATTCTTGGTGTTTTGATAACCTCAGCTGAAACCGAGTCATTATTTGTTATAACTAAATCTATTAGTGTACCTCCACCACTTCTATTTGGTCTTGTGCATTCTGTAACAATATTTTTTAATCCAGTATCAATCAAAATATCACTTAATTTCCCAGTGTAAGTGTTTTTAGTTAACAGGTCAATATTAAAATCTCCAGAAACAATAACTATTTGAGAATTATCACATAAATTTTCTTCAGCCCAAGTGCTAAAACAATCTAAAAAATGTATACAGCTACTGCTAGGTGACCTGTATAAAGATACAATTAAAAAATGTTTGTTTCCTAATATTACCATCAAAGAAACAATCCAACAAATTCTTGGAATACAAAATTTAAAATATTTTAAAAACCTTCAGTTCACTTTGTACATAAATTAAAGCACCCCCTGTGTGTCTACTTTCACTGTCAACTCTATAATTTTTAAATCCGTCAATGTCTATTTCTGAATCATAAATATCCTCAGTCAAGCAAGTTTCAGAAACACATACTAAACTTGTAATTTTCTTTAAATTTTAATTGATTCATTGTAGTCAAATTCTGCAATAAATAATATTTTAAAACATTTTGAGTTTTATCTACTAATTTTATGCATGGCTTAGTTAAATGCCTCTTTGAAACGTCTAAAAGGCGTTCATAATTTACATTAAAACGACAAAATAATCATTAAATACATTTTCCACTTGCCAGCAGAAGCTGTAAATAAGAAAACACACAAATCTTTGTGCATTTTGAAATAATTTTAAAATAGGGTTTATTAAATGTTTGCTAAGATCACAGTGAAGATTTACGGTTTCTACATTTTCTCACCTGTTGCAAACGATTTTTTTAAAAGCCTGATCAATACCAATGGAATTTGTAGCTCTCCATTATTTATGTTTTAAATTTTTTTATAAACAAAAATAATAGATTTGCTATCAGAAAAATAAGTGAAAATATTATCAACACAACATTAAAATGACATAAACATTAGTCATATACCTTCATAGAAATTGCCAGATAACAGTTGAAATATTTTTTGTATTTCATATAATTTATTGTCGAAAAAATGAAAATAGTTCTTTATTTTTTATAATATTTTAATTAACTAATCATAATTCTGGATCTTTTTACATTTTAAAACACTTTTAGATCCAAAAATAACGTAAAAATCATAAAATTTCTAAAAATACGCTAAAACAATCGCAATGCCGGGCCAACCATCACTACTACCATCAATACCCTCAAGAAAAATAGGCTCATACATGGAATCCTATCCATCGTCCGTCTTATTAAACGGCTACACACCAAGCCCAAGCAGCTCGGCCACCAGCATAAATTCTATAAACTCATACAGAGGCTTACCACCGCAAATACCAACAACCAAAAGATACACGAACATCCGAAGACCTTACTCTGCAGGCTTCGATGTTCCAAGTGAAAGAAAGCCTGTTATGTTCCAAACCAGACCCTTGCGGAGTCTAACAGTCGTTTCGGATTCGCCTTCAAGGGAAACCAGCATGACAAGATCCCCGAGTCCTACGCCTAGCAATTACAGCATGAGTAGTTTTAGATCTAACAGATCCAGCAGTGTTTACCTTCCTAGAAGAGTATATCCACAAACGTACGATCCAGGAAGTCAATATGATTTAGAGGACAAAGAAGAAAGTCCAGTAGTGTTCGATGCCAATCTAACGTTCGTGTTAGGCTGTAAAGGAAAGTTGAAGCAACACGTTAGACCGGTTCCTGCTCACCAAGAAGCACAAACTGCCTCAAATGCGTTATCTAATAAAATTTCCGATTTCCTATCAAGAACTGATCATGTTATGGACGAATGGAAGGGTTTGGGACACAAAGAGGACGAACAACATAGCCTTAGAATGAAGAGAAGTCGCAGCACGAAACACATGGGAAGATCCAGGAGTGCTACCAATATTATGATCAAAGGTTTTCAGTATTTTAGCAGAGCTAGCAGTTGCAGCAGATCGTCTGTGGGTAGAGACTTGGAGGATTGCACGGATGCGGAAATAGATGAGGTATAAAATAGGGTTAATTAAACTATTGTTATTAGGTTTTTTTCTGTATAAATTAGAAACATACACTAAAGTTAGAATTCTGCGAATTAGATTAAATGTTCGGACAGTCAATGACTGTCTCTGATCGTTATAGAAACAAACCTAATACGCTAGTTTTATGTTTTTATTGTATTTTTTAAACTCTCAATTAAAGCCTATTTGTCATTCTTTAAAAACTCAAGTTAACAACAGAATTTTCATTTTCGTATCCATAAAGAACTATTACTTTGAAACCTTAGATATACATACATGCTTTCCAAGCTGCAGTAACTGTATCTGTAACGTGTAGAGGGTGGGTTACCCTACAGCACTTAAGCCTCCTTAGGCCCATTGTGCATCCTCCTAGGATATTAGCAGGATTTGTAGAGGCTTTAATTCCATTTTCATCCTTTTTCTTGTGAAAAGGACATTTCTGTCTTTTTGTTTTCACTTACATTAAAAGAGGGTGGGGGTCCATAACACTGTAGTGTCATAAAAAGTAAGCGATTTAGATAAAAAATAGAACCCTTTTAAATGTGGTAGAGTTACTGAACACGAAAGTAACTTGCTTAGAGGCGTTCACGACCGTTAGGACACTTTCACAGTGTTGCCAAAGTTATATAAAAAATATAGTTTACGACCTTGCGTCTGGGCAAAGTTGTAAGGTTTTACGGTACTGGTTTCCTTTTAAAAATGATACTAAGTTTCATATTTTAATAGTACAACTAATTCTATACAATATTTTATTTTATAGCAAGGAAAAACGAAATATTGGTAATTTTATATCCTTTCTACGCTCTTATTTAGACTTCTTACGTCAAAAGTAAATCTGTCAAACAAAACTGTCAACGGCTTATTGAGTTCGAATTAGATTAACTCGAAACAAAAATTTTATAAGTATAATATCTAAAAATGCAATATTCTGACCTATTTTCGGGGAAATACATCGGAACGTTAAGGAATTTAGACAGAAAAATATAACCGGCTATTTATAAAAGAGTTTTACGCTGTCATTCAGGTTATTTAAAAATATTAGGATTTAATCATTGATGATGTATTTACATTTTCACTTTCCCGACGATACCGCAAACAATCGCTGTTGCCAAAACAAACAAGAAAAGTCGTAAAATGTAACCACACTGTTTTAAAAAATAAAAATATTAGTTGTCACTAACTTAACACTTTCTTGTTATTTAACTGAATATAGAGAGAGAAGAAAACATTTTTATTGATTTTAAAATGTCCAAGTTCTTTTTATCAGTAATTGAATACTTTTATGGTTTTTATACTGAGTGTCACATTGACGCAACAGGTTTTTAGCTATAGGTTTAACTATGAAGACTGTTTAACCAAACAAAGCAAGTACCTATTAGGCATTCCAAACAAATGAATTACCAGTGGGCAGGTTTGGTATATCTAAGGGTGGCGACATATGGTGTATTCTATCTACTTTACGTAAAATCATGAATAATGGATTACATTTAAATATTTTATGTCAAACACAATAAAAATAATATTTAAAAAACCCACCTATACATTTCTTCATAAATTGGCAGGCTTGGCGAGTACTACTTAGAATAAAAATAGCGTCCAAGTTGCAAGACTATGTCGCTACCCCCTTAAATATACAAGAATTTCCCACTGGCACTTATTGTTTGACAGGTCGTTGGAATGCCTAATTGTACACAAGGCAGAGACAAGGCAAGGTTATAATGTTTTTGTAGTTTTGAATAAAAATGTCAGATATATTGTCAAACATTGTAATAGCTTGAAAAAAAGAATGCAAATTGTAAACGATTTGGATATAAGAAATCTTTTTATTTATTTATTTCGGTAAGTTTATTTAGGTAAACAGAATCCTATTTAAAAAATATTGAAATAAATACTTATATAAAATTGTTAAATACTATGATTATAATAATATGAATTAACCTTTTTTGGACAATGAAGTGCGATAATATTGTGACTAAATTTTCCATTGCCAATATTATCTCAGACAGAAACATCCTGGTAGGAAAAGAAACCGAGAAATCTCTAACTTGACCCCCAACCCACACGTGGTATTTCATGTCAACGGAGTTGCAAAAGGCACAGTTACAGTTTGAGTTTCCTGAGCTTTGTCCAAATTTTATATAGAAAATCAATCCATTCGAACCCATCTGCAACTGCAAAAAAGAATCCAGGACCCCAATAAAACATTTTACATTATTTACAATATTTTAAATTATTCTCAAATAACTTTATATTATTCAAAATTTTTCTCGATCTAAAAAAGAAAAATAAACCGTGTAAAAAATACAATTTGTTTGGAAGCATTTCCATATAAACTCTTTCATATCGCAATTAATAATATTTATATTTTTTTTATATACACTGGCCAGCAAAGTTAACGCACCAATTCATATAAAAATGAAAATATTTATTTTTAATTTAAACTGCCATAGTACACACATTCTAAATTTATACAGTCGGTTTTTTATAGAAGTCTATTTACCTTATCTTTATTTGTTGGAATTCAGATAAAATTTGAATTAACATAGGTACCTCTTTTTCTTTAGGTTTTATTGCTAAAATTTATCATTTGCACTAAAAATTTACATTTGTGAGGTACAGTGAAGTAAAGTGTTTATTATGGACCGCCAATCTGGTACATTAAAGTATAACATTCAAAGAATATTGTGTCAAATTTTCATGTAGAAATATTTAAAAATACGGAAATGGTAGCAATTATTCGGAAGCATCTCGGAAAAAAGTAGAATTGCGGTGCCCCTCCTAACTCGGTGCTGGATCATCAGAAATAAAAAAATAAAAGTTTTCTCGTTAGATAATCGTTTTCCCCAGGTAACGCTGGGAGGGTTTTTCGAAATTTCAATTTTTCACTTTTTGGGAACACTTTAAAATAAAAAACGCGATTCTTGCGAAAAAAAAATAGGCTAATTTGTTATTATAAAAGAAAAAAATATTAAGAAATTTGAAAAAAACTATCCAACGTTACTTCGTAAATTATGTACAGAAATAGTGTTCAAAATTTCAAAAGGATAGGTGCAGTAGTTTTGAAGTTATGAGGGGCACCGACTTTGGAAACATGAGTTGTAGGAAAAACGCTTTACAATTTTGAACACTAAAAAATTTGGAATAAAACGTTCATAAGCGAATTTTATCGGCTTATCTCACGAATCATGGATGCCAGGTCCATACAGGATGTTGCTATCATTCATAATGTCTAAAGCATCTTTTTTGCTCCTGTCTACGACGAATTCTCATTCATGAGCGCTTGATCCACTACTGATTCCTATGTCTTGCATATAGGTTAGTAAAGCAAAAGAACATGCCACGTTAATGCTACACTAAATAATATACAGTATAGATATAAACACGTTTGTACTTGTGTTAAAATTTCTATAAAGAAATGTAGGAGGTAAGGTTAGGGATCATATAGTGAGCGAAACAGCTGCCAGACAAGGGCGGCCCGAGAAACATTTTCGGTGGGGGCCTTTAGCCATTCTCTTTTTAGCATATTTTTTTGAATAAAAGGCTCATAAATCGTAAGAATTTTCATCTCGGTGGGGATCATGGCCCCCATAGCCCCCTCCCCTGGAGCCGCCCTCGCTGCAAGGCAACAATAGCGCGTCATGTATGAGGCGAGGTTACTCAAACCGCTGTATCTTCGTTAGTTTTGTTCCGATTTATCTCAAATTTTTACACAATATTCATGAACGGTTCCATTCACAAAATCAGATATAAAAAAAATGAAAAAAAAAAGTTTAAAAACTTTACTCCCCCCTTAAGAGTGTCTGCTTTAAGACAACAGTTTGTGACAGGAAGATTGCTGCAGACACAGCTACAGGAAGATGGACTCAGAATTTTAACTGATACTCTTCGTCGACGCCTAGCTGAATATGATCTGAGACCAAGAATCCCAGCGCGAGGACCAGCTTTGACCCCAGAGCATCGTAGAGCAAGGTTAAATTTTGCTAGAGTACACATCGATTGGGCTGATGAAGATTGGAAAAGAGTTCTTTGGTCAGATGAAAACAGATTTTGTCTCTACAACTCAGATAGACGTAGAGTTTATCGAAGACCAAATGAAAGATTATTTGGTGGAGGGTATGTTATGTTTTGGGGAGGAATCTCTTTAACTGCTCGTACTGACTTGGTGGTTATTAATAATGGCAGTTTAACAGCAGATAGGTACACAAGGGAGATCCTGCAAGAACATGTGATACCATTTGGCCCTTACATTGGTGAGAATTTTTTGTTTGAGTAAGATAATTCTAGACCACATGTTGCTCAGATTGTGCAAAATTATTTTAATGAGATTGGAATTGAAACTATGGATTGGCCAGCAAACAGTCCTGATCTTAACCCTATTGAGAATGTTTGGGACATGATCTACCGCCATTTTCAAGAACTTCCTAACCCTCCTAACACTTTGAATGGAGATATTATCCAAATATGGAATAATTTGGATTAAAACGAAATAAGGAACGTAATTTTAAGCATGAATAATCTCTGCCGAGCTGTTATTCAAATTACCCGTCCTTAATTTTTTACCTAAAGTTAATATTTTTCTTATTTTTTGAATTTTCTTGTTTTAGCTTTATTTTTTCTTACCTTCTATTGGAATTTTATATTTTTTTAATACCCTTATTAAGTTAGAATAAGAATATACTTAATCAAGACATACCAATATTTGATCAATATTATGAAATAAAAAATATTTTTCAAAATATAGTAGTGGTGCGTTAATTTTGCTGGCCAGTGTATGTTCAGCGATAATTCTTTAAAACGGTGTCCGATGTCAATGATTCTTTTTTTGTTAGAACGGGGGTACTTCAGGGGTTTGGCTAAAATCTAATAATTGGGTCCATTGGAAAATCCTCAAACTCTTCATTTTTAATGTATGTTTAGCGGTAATTCTTTACCACCTTGTCCAATTTCTATGATTATTTTTTTTGTTAGTAAGGGGGTACCTCAGGGGTGGTCCCATATAAAATCGGTTAAGATGTGGTGACGGCATCTGCACGATTTTGAAGTCGGTTTTTTAAAATTACTTTTAATACTTGTATGATTAAAATACAAACGTATAAAAAAATTAAATTAAAAGTTAAAAACAAATTAATTTGAAAAATATGTTGTAATAAAATCTTATTTGGACAAAATTTTCATATTTGCTAACTACTAATAATTATAATTTGTGTTTTCTCTCCAATATTTTAAATTTTATTTTAAAATATATTTGATACATGCTTTTTTAGTTTAAAAACCCCATTTTTTTATTAAAATAGTCATGGTTGAGCTTATGTATAAACAAAACTAAATGTAAGATTTGTTTGCATTTTAGTTTTTTTTTTTTTTCTACAAAAATATTCTCTATTAAAAAGTGTTTCGATCGCAATTAAAAAACGCAAAATTATTCAATTTTAGTTTTATTAAAATAACTCAAATTGTTCCAGGGGGGTAGTTTTTGAGTGTGGGTCATCAAAATTTTATTTGTTTCAAAGTACACTGCCAATTATATTGAATGACTTTTGTCTCGTTCGATTATCTTGCATGGTTTAGAAGTTATGGCATGGGTAAAACAATTTGGGACACCTTGTATATTATATTAAGCGAGATATCATTATAGGTATACATACCATTCACTATTACACTTACATTCATGTTTTAAAGATGACAACAATTATTAAAAACTTATCTAACAAACAAGCATTTCAGATTTCGAAAATAGTAAATTAATATACAATTTAAATACTTATAATGTTATTACTTGTTAATTATTATTGTAAAAGATAATTGGAATACATTATGCATAATGAGGTACGGCAATTCTTTGTAAAAGTTTCCCAGGAAATATATCATTACTTCAATTTAAGTCGGGTGTCACGTGTCGTATTTTCACAAATATCTTTAGTTTTTAATATAATTTCGATTAGTTTAAAATTATTGTTTATACGGTGATGAATGTCGTGACTTAATAACCGATTGAATGTTAAAAATAAATATTTTTGTCGAATATTTTAATAGCGTGGTAAAAGTTATTATTTTCATAGAATGTATAGCAATAATATACGTATCTGGGTAAGTTGGAATTGTACAACACAATCTATCATTTACACCGTTTTGGTTGAAGATGGATAATCAGGAAAACACTAAATCTTAAGGCTATTCTGCAGCTTTCCGTTCGTACCTCATCCATTTCATAGAATATATCTGTACGCAACCCTCTCTTTGTTTATGTAGACAATTGTACGTGTAATAATTTCTCCGTTCAGTCTAAAGGGACGCCTATCTTTCTCGGTATTCATCTCCACCTGAAACGCGGGCTGGCCAAATTTGTCGGTATATTGTAACTATTGTGTTAATAGTAATTTTATGTTTTTAATATCAGCTGGCAGTTTATTAAATAATTGAATTCCTGCATGCTCAGGACTATGTTCATATAGAGCAGATACATGCCTAATTGTACGTAACATATTGCCATTACGAGTGGGATAGTTGTGACAAACATTGTTCCTAAAAAATTTAGCTTCATTTTTTTTTGTATGTAGGATTGTCTTATAAATATATAATTTGTCGTTTTGTTCTCTTTTACAAAAATGAATGAATGATTTCCAAATGTGTGGTAAGGAGAGTTTTTAATGTCTGCAGTTAATTGCTTCACTGGTATTTTTTCTGTGGTAATTTACAGCCGATTTAATTCCCACTCGTAACTTGAAAATACTATAATAACTCAAAAACGAATAAAGAGAAAAACACCAAATTTTAAACTTAAGCTCTAATCAATTCTGTGATGAGCTGATTAAATTTAAGGTATAGTCGAAGCATCTGGGGCTACTTTATAGGGTGTCTTTTTTTGCTTTAAGAAATATCTCTGTTATTTCTAATTGGAGAAGACAATTCCTCAAATAAAAGACCTGTAGATGCTTTTCCCGAGGTACATATAAACCTTAAGAGACATGTACACATCAGTATTACTTAAAATATATCAGTAATTATTTTATAACAACCTTCTGTAAGCAATTGTACATTATTAATTATTAAATACCGTTTTTTTTCTTTCCAGCTCTCAGAAATGACAGCAGACCTCGCCGAAGAACATTCAACGGCCACTTTGGCTGCCGAGAGACTCGATGCCGAAACATCGGAACGTTTGAAACTAGAGAAGGAATTGAACGATGTACAATCCAAAAACAAAGATCTCCAACAATCCTCAGAACGTTTGGAATTGGAACTGCTATATGCCAGATCGGATTTAAATGGAATTTCCGAAGAAGACGAAGACGGGGAGGGCGACGGTGGTGTTTATAAACAAAGATACGAGAGGGCATTGAAAGAGTTGGAGTTTACTAAGAGGAGATTACAGCAACAACACGAGGACGATTTGGAACAGCTGATTGGACTGAAGAAACAATTGGAAAAGAAGGTATGTGTACAATAATTATGGTTCATAATAATACAGGGTGTAACAAAAAGTTATGTCATAAATTGTACCATCTATTCTAGAATATTAGGTCAATATTAGGTCAAAAACTGTTAAACAATTTATCATGAACATAGAAATGTGGTTTTCTTAAATTAAGAGTAAGATAAATTTACGAAAAAGTACCCTCCATTACAGTTTTATGGGGGTTTTGACCAACTAAGCCACCAAACTTTTGTATACCTCATTAACAGGTAATTCTTGTGCTATCATTGGTTTAACACATTCATTTTGCAACTTTTTTGATCCCTAATTCTTTTTCGAATAATCAATATTTTTCGAATTACAGCAACCCCTTTAACATGCAAAATTGACGCCTACTATAATTTAACAGTTTTATAAAAAAAAATCATAAACTAAAAGGCCTTTTATTGTCAAGAAGTTGTTTACGCAAATTTTTGTCCATAAATTTAAATTAAATTTAAATGTTTTAAATGTGTAAATGAATTTTTCTTTCTTAATTAATTAACTCTTGTATAAAATTCAATTTTCTTGTTATTTTTTTGGATATAATTACGTTATTATTTAATAATTTTTATTTAAGAAAAACATATATTCTTGAAACCTGAGAACTAATTTAAAATTATCTTCACTTCTACCACATTAATTTTGAATTAGAAGAATGGAACATTATCTAAGGGAATTATGTTTGCTTTTAAATTTAACGGGTCTTCAACATAGAAATAATATAGAAGACCAATATTAATATAACATTTAAACAGAAATTGAAATCTACTGTGCATAAAAACGCGTCTCTGCGCCTGACATCGCAAAATAGCGTGTCTAGAAGCATGCGCAGTATGTATGACTTGTCCCTGACACAAAAGCGTTTCAAATTTATTGATTTTTAAATTATACGATTTAACCAGTTTATATCTACGAAATATCGCCACAAAATAACTTATAAACATTTAAATAATCAATATATTTATGTGTAATTACCAGAGATGAAAAAATTAAGTACTTAACAGAAACTCTAAATTCACTTTTAGAAAATAATACAAAATTAATAAAACAAAAAGACCACCCTAAAAAAAGAAAACAATGGATAACAGAAGGAATTATAAAGTCAATAAAAGAAAACGTTTGTACAGTATTCACAAAAGGATTTTCAGAATGTTGAAAAAAAAATGCGATATTTAAATTATAGAACACTTACAGATAAATGAATTAAACAAGTTAAAAAAGATTGTTACACCAAACAAATAAATGAAAATAAAAATAGTTCGAAAAGGTTATGGGACACTTTAAAACAAACACAAGGAGATGGTAGAAGTAATAGAGAAATACGTGAAATAACTACAGATGAAGGAAAAAATATTACAAACGCAAAATATATAGCAGAAAGATTTAATCAATTTTTTTCAGAAATAGGACATCACTTGCAATTAAATAGGTGACCCAAACTCACTACCTCCGGTCAGAAATATTCACAAAAACTCTTTTGCGCTACTACCAATAACTGAAACAGAAATAAATAATATCATTAATTCACTTTTGAACAAAAAATCACCTGGAATAGATAATATTTCCTCAGAATTAGTAAAAGAAAATTCTGATACATTAGAACTACTTTTGATGGATCTAATTAATAAAATGTTTGATAAAGGTGAGTTCCCAGCCGAATTAAAAAAATCTATAGTAGTACCAGTCTTTAAAAAAGGAAAAAAGAGTATGTTTACAAACTACAGACCTATTAGTTTAATAACGACTTTTACAAAAATAGAAAAAGCCTTAAATTTACGTTTAAAAGATTACTTCAATAAATATAAGATCATCTCAAACAAACAATTCGGGTTTCGAGACGGGCTCTCAACAACAGATGCGATCTGTGAGTTGTTAAAAAAAAAATTATAGTTCCGTTGACTGCAAAAAACCATGTCTAGCAGTTTTCCTGGATTTTGCCAAGGCCTTTGACACTGTAGATCACAGACAGTTGTTAGAGACAGTGGAAGATATAGGGATACGTGGGAAAACTTTTGACCTTTTTAATAGTTATCTGAACAATAGATTTCAAAGAGGTATAATCAATAATGAAATCAATGATGAGCGGCCAATAGAAAGCGGTGTTCCTCAATGAACTATATTAGGTCCCACTTTATATAATTTGCAGACCACAGGAGAAATAGTAAGTTTTGCAGATGACACTGCGATTTTTATGAAGCAGAAACTTGAGACGATCTAAAACGGAAAACTGAAAAAGATTTAAAGAAAATAATAGACTGGTGTTCCCATAAAAAATTAACCATAAACTACAATAAATCTTTCGTTTTACCATTTGTCAGCTACTCTAATAATCTACCTCAATTTAGTGACATTAGTTTAACTTATAATAAAAAGAAAATAACATTAAAAAAAAAATGAAATAAAATATTCATTTACATTGGGCGAAACGCAACTGCTTCCTATTTTGCACTCCCCATATTAAATTTACTTGTAGCAAATGATACTAAATCAAATAAGATGTCAGGTCGCAAGCAAAATATCATGACTATAGTACTAATGATTGCCAAAAATTAACTAATTCATATTTAATGCCATATCTTTCTTAATAAGGACTTTTAGAACCATATTTACCTTACTTAAATTTTTTTTCAACGTTTTTTATATAGAATCATCCCTAAAAATGTATGACTTCCAACCTGAAACATCGTGTGAACTATTTGTTAGATCATTAAAAAACTTGCACCGGTCCTGTCCGAGCCAGCGCCGTTATGCGCATGAGCTCATACATACTATTTTTTCCTTATGGTTTCATTTTTGATATATGGAATTGGCTTTTTATACTATTTCTATGGTCCTCAAATAGAACGTGCCCACGCATTTATATTTGTTACCAATTTTAAATAGTCCAATAAATTGCCATTAATTTTTTATGTTAATGGGATGCGTCAATGTACTTCTTTAGTATTCCAAATAAAATAAAAGATAACCATAGTTGGATAAAATATTCTTCATCAATAGGCACTCATTTTGACTTAACTCAATACAACCCTGGCATTATTCGACCCTCTTAAAAAATCCCCTTACCCCGGGCAGGTATCTAGAATTATTTCTTATGTATATCAGATTTCAATTATTATTCAATGGTATAACTACCACATTCCATCATTTTTTTCGTAACTGAAATGAAAAGATTTGTATGTCTTTTTACATAATATCTAAAACTAAAAAAATAGATAAATATATTAAAAAAAATTGTTTTATAATACACAAAATAAAAAAATGTTTTTCGTTTTTAGTTAGCAGATGCATACGAAGAAGTGGAAGAACAACGGCAAGTCGTCGGTCAGTGGAAGAGGAAAGTTCAAAAATTGAACGGCGAAATGAACGATCTTAAATTATTATTGGAAGAACAAAATGGAAGAAATAATTTGTTGGAAAAGAAGCAGCGAAAATTCGATTCCGAAACGCAAATGTTGCACGACGAGTTGAAAAAAGAAAGACAAAATAAGGAAAGATTTGCTAGAGAAAAAGAAATTTGCATTGCCGAGAAATATGCTATCGAAAGCACTCTTGCTGTAAGTTTTTATCTATCAATCTATCACTTTTTATAGTCAGTACAAATGTGGATTTACCGTAAATTATTAAAAATCAAATTTTTTAGGACACCAGACTGGAATTAGAACTAAAAGAAGAAAAACTATTGGGCTTGCAACGCGAATTTGACGAAATAACCTGCGGCGGTAAGACCGAAGAGGAAGTGACCATTTTAAGAAAGCAAAAGATCGACTGCGAAAGAAGACTGCAAGATCAAGAAGAAGAGCTAGATGAACTTGCTGGACAAGTACAATTACTGGAACAAGCTAAACTTAGATTGGAAATGACGTTGGAGTCTATGAGGAAGGAGTCTAAAAAGGAAGCTCAAATGAGGGATGAAGAGTTAGAGGAAGTTCGGTGTAATACGCAAAAGAAAATTAAAGGTAAAATATTGTTATTTGTGTAACTAAGTTAAAGATACCAGTAGTCGACACCTTAAGAAAAATATAATGGTAAATTTACAATTAATTTAATAAATTTGCCTCTATATTTTGTTATCAACTTCAGATAGAACACCTTAAGTGTGGTCTAGGTAAATATTCATATTACAAGTATTAGAAATTAAAAATTTAAAACGACTTTTTTAATAAATTTCTGAACCAAATCAAAATCATGTTTAGGTCCATATACTAATGACTGTCTAACACATTCTGTTAAATTATTGGTTACTGCTGATGAAGTTGAAGGTTGTTCATATGAAGAGTTTTTTGGACACTTTCTTCTTAAATGACCCCTAGCCTTGCATTTGAAACAAATTATCCTCGAATTTGTGTTTTCTTTATCTTTATCTAAATAAACAGCATCGTAAATCTTTAATTGATCAAAAGTGTTATTCAAAGGAGAATAAGAGTAATTAAAATTATAATTTGGTTTAAAATATTCAGAATTACTTCCATGAAACTTTGCATTTTTAACAATTTTATCAAATTTTACAATTTCGTGCAATAGCTCATTATCTTCAGGGTTTGTTGCTAAGAGTCCAGGAATAATGTCTTTATTACATAATCATTACTTGTTCTTTAATATCTTCAAAATCATAATTCAAGGATTTGCAAAGAGTAACCTTGTCTTGAAAGTAAGAATAAACTGATTCAGTCTTACCTTGTTTTCTATTTTTCATTTACTGCCATATCTCATCCTTACTTAACTTAATATCAAAAGTTCTCTTAAATTTCGCCTTAAAATTTTCAAAATTCTTAATATCACCAGCCCTTTCAATGAACCATTTCTTTGCAGTGCCAACCATATGGATTTTAGCTGTTTCTAAACTGAATGCATCCGGCCACCGATGTAAAATTGCTGCCGCTTCCAGAGTACCAAGCCAATCCATTGCCGGTTTTCCAAAATTTTCATTATCAAAATCTTCGACATTCTTTGTGAAATCTGGCATAATATGAAAGTCCCTGGAAGATTTTTTAGTATTTGCTTGCTGCAATAATTCTAAAAATCTTTCTTCGGAAGTTACTCGATTCTTCTCTATAGTCATTTTCATAAACATCTCCATCATATCTTGGGTACATCTGATGCCTTCTATTGGATTGTCAGCATCACCTCCTTTGGCCATGATACAATTTTTCAGAGTACGAGTAATGTACCCGAAATATATATTTCTGTTCCACTGGTTCGGTTAACCACTTCTGATTTGTTGGAAATGCTGGTTTCGGGTGTTTTTATAAAATTAGTAGAGATATTTTTAAAATGTTTATTGACAATCTTCGAAAAATTTTTGAAAATTTTAAATGGAACTTTATAATTCTTATACGTTATTTAGAAAAAGAATTTAATTCTGACAAGAAACGGTAAAAACCGGGTCTTATTATCTAGGAATAGCAAATGTCTATAATGATGAATAGATCACCTACATATTAACAAATAGGCATAGGTTCATAAATCAAACTCAACTTTATACAATAATTCCAAATTCTTTGTAACGCATTAATTTAATTTACCTATTTTTCAGCTTTCGAACAACAACTAGAAAACGAACATGAAGAACGCACGTTATTGTTAAGAGAAAAGCACGAATTGGAGAGGAGGTTGCAAGCAGCCGCCGAAATGGAAAGACACGACAGAGCCGGAGACGAAGCACTCTTGCAACGACTGAAGAGGGACCTGAAGAGAACGAAAGCTTTGCTTAGAGATACACAAGCTCAATTGGATAGGCAGAAATCGGAAGCGCCTGGTAAGCGATTTGAAATTAACAATTAATAATAAATATCTTTATTAACCAACAAAAAAAAATACAAGTAAAATGAAACATTCATTATGGTATGGACCCAAGAAAATAAGAAAAAGGCAAACGTTGGTTAAAGGGCGCAAAATCAGCTAAGCTGCTCTTCCTTAAGAACCCAAAAAACATAAATAAAATGATAAAAAATAATATTAATAGTAAAGAGTAAAAAAATCCAGTTAAAAAGAAAAATAATAAATTTAATCACACATTTGCATAAATAAATAATGCAATAAATAAAAAAATATAAATAATATTTAAACATTGTTCGTAAAATAATTTTTCAAAAAGTTTTTGTTCGAATTGAGATATTGTCATTAATTTAAAATTGTCTGGTAGAAGATTGTATGCTTTGAAGATATTATCTAGAAGATTTTGGTGGCATAGAAATAATGTTTTTCCTTCTAATATTAATATTACGAACATCTGATCTATACTTTATTTTATTGGTTAAGTAAGGAGGAGTTTTGTTTAAGATTACTTTGTGAAGTAAAGTCATCGCATGTAATAACCTTCTGCGGGTCATATTCAACCATTGAACAGTTACTAAGGTATGACTAATTGGGTCAAATTTTCTTATTCCGAAGATTAACCGTAAACAAGAATTTTGAAGCCGTTGCAGTCTGGATGAATCTCTTAATGTTAAGCAGAGACCGTATACTTAGTCACAGTGGTTAGTTTGTGAGAATACAAGCGATTCACAAAGGAGTATTTTGAGTTTTCTACTTAAAATATGTCTATTGGGATACAAGACTTTCAATTTTCCATAAGCTTTCTTTAACATAAATGATATGTGATCGATTATGACTCCCAGATTTTTAGCCTGCTCAGTAGTCGTTAAAATAAATTGTTACTAATTTTTCTTTGATTTTAGGAAAAGCGACAATCCGACAACTCAGAAATCAATTGGAAGACTTGGAATGCGCCAGGGCATTGGCAGTAAAGGCCAAACAGAGTCTGGAGACTGAACTATTAGAAACCCAGTCTCAATTGGACGAGGCACACAAACAAAAACAAGAAAGCGACGAACGCGCTAACTCATTGCTTCGCGAAAAGAGCGATCTACAGACGCAGCTAGAGGAAAACGAAGAAGAACTTGCAGAGGTATTGAAGAAATTCAAAGGAACCGTTCAACAGATGTCATTGGATCAGATGGCTTTGCAAGAGCAAGTTTCTTTGGTATCCGAATTGGAAATCGAAAGAAATCATTTGAGGGAACAACTTGCCGAACTTACTACCAAGTTGGAGTCTGTTGAGAGTATGGGCGAGTCGTCGTCGAATTTGCTAGTCAGAAGGTATTTTTGCTTTGTTTACTATTTTTTATGTTATGCTTTCGTTTTAAAGATACACTAAAATTAATTGAATAAAAAAAATGTATATTTTCAAATATATTTATAAATTGTAGAGCTTTTCATTGCTGATTATTGCATTAATATTTTTTTACCAGTTTTCCATTATTATTTCTATAATGTGAGGCCTATCAAAGCAAAACTTGTCATATCCATTTTGGGTAATTTTGCACAACAAGCTAAAAACCTTTACACTGATTATTTTTTTGGTTTTTATTTTGACAAATTAATACCTATAACATTAAAAAGAATATTAGTGTGTTTTGTACTTAGATTAAAGTGAAAACCACCATAATAGTTTTAAAAAGCAATAATAATTTGGATAAGACAAGTATTGCAGTGTCACTTTGGATTTGACAAGTTATGCAGTGATAGGGATGGGATAAGTCGAGTTTTGCAATTTAAAAAAAAAAATTAAACACTTATTTTAAAGAAACGTTATTATGTAATATAAAAAAAAATTAGAATCATGGAACGATATCCTCTTCTGGCGTTCTTGGTTAACAAAAGTCTTCCTCGAGCTGGTTTACAAAAGTCTTCCTCGAGCTCGTCGATGGTATCTTGAGTCAAGTGTTACTTATCTGATGTCTGATAAGAGTGTTTTAAAAAACGGTAAATCTTCTCTGTTTTGCCATTCTTTTCCGAAATGTTTAATTAGCAATTTTTAACATCAGCTAGCTTTGCTGGTTTTACTGGAACGCCCATTGAAATAATCTAAACAGAAAAATGCTCGAGCTTTTTCCCTTTTTGTTTTGACTGTTCCGGTATTTGAATTATATTGGGCTAGTGCATAATTATCAGGCGTTTTTGTAGATGGCCGTTTTTTCAGAAACAATTGCTGTATTGTTTACTTTTGCTTTGTCAAAATATTATTTAATTTCGTGGTTATAAAAATGCGTGTTGATAAGTATACTCATATTCGTCATATTATGCTTTACCACTTCGAAAAAGGATGGAAAGCAGCGCAGTCATTTCGTGATATCAACGAACTTTTTGGTGAAGGAACAATAAGTGAAAGTGAAATGGTTTGCTCGTTTTAAATCTGGCGACACTAGCTTGGAAGATAAGCCAGGAAGAGGTCGACTATCAGATTTCGATAACCAGGCACTTTTGCAAGCCGTAGAAAGGGACGAAAGTTTGACAACTCGAATGCTGGCAGAAGACTTCAACGCGGACCACTCAACCATCGTTCGTCGTCTGAAAAAGCTGGGAAAGGCATGGAAAGTGGCTGGTTGGGTCCCTCACGAACTGTCTGAAAACAGTAAATCCGAATGTCTCCGAATTTTTACTGATTTGCTGCAACGTAACGAACAAGCTCCGTTTTTGAAGAACCTTATCACTGGAGATAAGTCATAACTTCTCTTTAAAAATGTCTGCGTTTCGCCAGGTGTAACACCAAAACGAGTACCGAAAAATGTACACTGTAAAAAGGCAATTTGGTGTGTTTGGTGGGACAGAAGCGGAATTATCCATTGCAAAATCATTTCAAAAGGGATTTGTTATTGGTAGAATGACGACGATAAGAGTCACGAATGGCGGATTCCAGACAAAAATGGCAAGCGGCAATTCAACGGCAACAGTGATGTCTATATGGCGCAACTTGATCGCCTTCACGCTGCAATCGAGACGAAAAGACCGCGCAAAAAAACCATATCGTCTTCCTTCATGACAATGCGCGTCCACATTTTGAGCGCCGTGTTGTCGAAAGCGTCGCCAATAAAGGTTGGGAACTGCTTCCGTATCCGCCATATTCTACCACAGAATCGCCAACGGACTACCATGTCAATCGATTTTTGAAAAATTGGCTGGTACAGAAAGTTTTCGAAGATTTGGATAACTTGGTGGCCGATGTCAAAGCATGGATTGCCTCCAAGAACCGACTTTTTTGCCCGTGGATTCGAACATCTTCCAAGCAAATGGGAATCAGTTATTGAAGTTGATGGTGTCTATGCTCCGGAATAATGATTTAATGATACTATTAAAGAATTTTTGTTTTTTTTTTTTTTATAAATAAAATTTTGCTTTCATATAAATAAAGTTTTTTATAAAACGCCTGATAATTATGCACCGCCCCAATAATAAAGTTCCCCACATTTCCATTTTTGTTTTTTGTAAATATGAATCTCTTGGCAAGTGAAAACTTGAAGTGCCATGATCCAACGGGTTTAAAAACTCTCTAACACTGGACTTCCAATCCATCACTGGATAGTCCTTTTTCAAAATAGCAACAGTTCCATGTTCTTTAAAAATATTCAAGTAAGTTTTGGGATCGGTGATTGTTGGCTGCTTTTTTAGTATCTTTTCCATTATCTATCTGGAGACAGAAATGAATGTCCTGGTATCAGAAAAAACTAATTCAATACTGGTTATATTTAAGGGAACACTTTGAGACAAAAAATATGATTAAGGATAATTTTCTGACCATAGCAGAATTTTATATATATGAAAATTTCTTAGGTTTATTCGGTCATTTTTTAATTTTAGCACAACACTACATACGTTTCGGAAACATTTTTTCCATCTTTGGGTGCAGTCAAAATTTAATAAAACTTTTTAAAAAATTTTAAAATAACATAAACCCCCATCTTTCTGTTTCATCATGTGAAGGTACATTCGGAATAATGATTTGGTTTAACACGATAACAATAAAGTAGGGAAACAAAAATATGAGTTTTTACAAAGTTAAAAATTACCAGTGGCGTTACAGTTAAGGATTAAAAAGCTTACAATTATTTAATAATAATAAAATAAACGTATGACAAATCTTTTATGTCCGTTTTATTATTTACAGAGTTGTTATTTTGTTTTAATATGTATCATCTCAAGATTGTTCTTTTGTTGAGATTTGGTTAATTTTCGAGAATTTTTACATTTTCAAAATCGAAAGAGTGCAAATTTGTTTACGTATGTTTAGTTAGGGCAGTAGAATTTTCATTATTCGTTGCGATATTATTTGTATGGTTTTTTATTCTTTTATGTAGATATTGTTTTGTTTGTCCAATGTAAGTGGAATTACAGTCTTTGCAGTCAATTTTATAGACATTTGGTTGATTTATTTTACTAATTTTGGGCTTAAAATTCGAAAATAACGTTTTAGTTGTATTGTTAGGTTTATGAGCAATTTTTACACTATATTTAGAAAACATTTTAGACACTTGTTCAGAAAATCCTTTTACATATAATATAAAAATTGCTCATAAACTTAACAATACAACTAAAACGTTATTTTCTAATTTTAAGCCCAAAATTAGTCAAATAAATCAACCAAACGTTGTTTATAAAATTGACTGCAAAGACTGTAATTCCACTTACATTGGTAAAACAAAACAACATCTACATAAAAGAATAAAAAACCATAAAAATAATATCGCAACTAATAATGAAAATTCTACTCCCGTAACTAAACTTGCGTTAGAAAATTTGCAATATTTCGATTTTGAAAATGTAACAATTCTCGAAAATGAACCAAATCTCAACAAAAGAACAATCTTAAGATGATATATATTAAAAAAAATAACTCTGTAAATAATAAAACAGACATAAAATGTTTATTTTAATATTATTGTTACGAACTTTGGAACATCCCTATATTACTTGAATTTGTGTGATATGATAACACATTCTTTAACGTGTAGCCGATAACGACGCATAGTTGATTCATAGAGGGTTACGTTATTGTCGATAGCATGGCTTGGTTTCGTTAATATAAAATATTAGTCTGTAATTTGCCTCGAAAGGGTTCACTTCGAGTTATTGTTTTCATTAATAAATATGTTTTGTTATTCATATCGTGTTTAAATAATCGAGTCATTATATTATTAAATAATTGTAAGCTTTTTAATTCTTAACTGTAACGCCACTGGTAATTTTTAACTTTGTAAAAATTCATCTTTTTGTTTCCCTACTTTATCGTTATCGTGTTAAACCAACTCATTATTTCGAATACACTCTCACACGATGAAACAGAAAAAATTTTTAGTGTTTGTAATAGTCTCAAAGTTTTATTAAATTTTGACTGCACCCGAAAATGGAAAAAATGTTTCCGAAACTTATGTAGTACTGTGCTAAAATACAAACATGACCGAATAAATCTAAGAAATTTTTATTTATATAAAACAAAAAATATGATAGCATGTCAATACTAGTTTAGTTTCGGTTTTGTCCCCCACTTCCATCAGCATTAAGTCTTATTATTGAATATGTGATAGGTCAATTCTTAAAATAATACTGTATACTGATGAGGTAATTTCGTTTGATATTTTATGAAACTGATGTTCCATCCACTATAATGAAGTTATAGATGTATAACTCTCTACTGTAATAGGCAATCTGATCTGGAACCTTGGGGTTTACCAAATTTTTTTTGGCAGTCAAACGAGAAAGTATTCATATTATCTTTAACTTCCTTAAGTTTCTCAAAAAACGCCTTTGATCTTAAAGTGTGGATTCTTTTTCCTACCATCAAGCTAGTCTTCTTGGCAGGACCTTTTTCGAGCCTAATTTTTTTCTGCTAACTCAATATATTTGGAGCAAGCATCCGTCACAGGACTTCCGAAACCAATGTTATATTCTCTGAAAAGGATATTTTGGAAAAAAGTTTTTTACATTAGGGATTACATCGTGTGACTCATTATATATTTTCCAATGCTTAGAAATACTCAGATGGCTGCCTAAGTACTGTCAATTAACCGTCTTTAATCCATAATAGTGACTTTCGACACCTTTCAAGTTTTCGATAAATTTTCGAACAGCAATCCTTTTTACTGACGCGAGTACGACCTGTTTGTAAGTGCCTCTTAACTACTCTCTGAACTCGATCTCTAACATCTAAGAGTACTTTCTGACATATCTGTACTTCGAACTTCTGACAAGCTGATTTTTTCATAAAATATCTTGTTGATACACTTTTCCTGTTGATCCCTTCTTTCTTTTGCCTATTACGTTTAGGTTGAAAATGTTTGCAATATTTTAGTATGTAGGCATCTTGCATCGTTGTTTTACATGCGTAGAAGTTCCGATGGAAAACATAAACGTCTCGCGGTGTTAATTTCTTACGCTTATAGGTTTTTCCATCGTGATTACATCTAGAATATTGTGGTAAGTTCTTCGTCTTATGCCTAAAATAAACCGTTTTTAGTAAGTTTGCTCTATATTAAAACTTCTAAAACATACCTTTCTACGTTTGGATTTATTTGTTACATTCTTTCTGCTTTGTTTGCCTCTGCAGGAAGAATTTTATGCTCCATTGGATTTAAGTGCAAATAATAGTAACTTACTAGCTAAACTATCAACAACACAGTATTTAAAAATGCGTTTTGCACACAATGACAACACACAGTGAATAAAATCCAACTGTCTAAAAATTAATGTCGGCTGTGAGTCACACCACCCGCCTTGGATTATTCCTATTGGTCAGGTGGATAACTCATATTATGCTTTGGTAGTATACTTGAATAGGACAGTTTTGCTTTGATTGCGATATTTCAGATGTAAAATTAAACAGGATATAGCTGATTTTGCTACGTTTTAACTTTGCCAACTACTGTGAGGCAACTCAGACTAAATAATGCAATATTTAACTCAATTTTCATTAAATATGGATAAGGCGAGTTTTACGTTGATAGGCCTCAAGTGTTTCTTATATTTGTTTTTTATTGTTTTCGCAAAATAAATAAAATAACTGACTAATTTTTATCGTTTTAGGTCGGAACTGAAAGTCAAAGAGCTGGAATCAAAATTAGAATTAGAACAGACGACTAGGTCTAGATTAGAAGTACAAATTAGTAGATTGAAAGAAGCCGTTGAAAAGTTACAAAGCGATTTATCCAATGCCAGAGTGAAAGAACAACAAAGTCAAGACCAAGTCAAGAAGTTACAAAGACAAATGAGGTAAGTTATAAGTTTCTACTCTTTATTTATGTAAATCGTTTTGTAATATATGCATAAAATATAATATAATTTGTTTGGTTTCTTTTATAGGGAAATCAAGGAAGAATTAAACATAAGCCTGGCCAAAGAATCGGAGGGTATTATTAAGAAGAAGGAATTAGAAAAACGATGTGAGGCTTTAGAAGGTGAAGCTGCCACGTCCCGGACTGATTTAAGACTCGCTTTGAAGCGAATTGAAGATTTACAATCTGCAATTCAAGGAGACTTAGAAGATACCATATCAGATAATTCAGACAGGTAATAAACGTGACTTTTAAAATTTTCATTACTATTTTATTTGTTTTTATTTTTAGTGAGCCGGATACTTACAGTTCTGACGATTCTGTTAATAAATATCTAGCTAATCATAAATCCAATATGAAAATTGAGAAATCGCAAGTAGGAAATGATTCCAAAAGGTAAGAAGAGAATTTAATAAAATTATTAAATCTGTATTTCTAATCTATATGTTTATTGTATGACTTTCAACTTTTACTGGGGGAAAGCGATCAGTTTTTTAAATTTCTAAATAACATTTTTATGGAATTTCATTTAGATTTCTATCGGACAGAACGCAGTCTAGTAAATGGGGCAATAAATAAAAAAAGCATATACAATGTATGCTGTATTTTGAGGCTAATTGAATTGAAATAAAACATTGCTGTACTTTTTCCATTCTCCTCCAAGAGCGTTTGTCTTGCTACATACCCTGCGTTATTAATTTTATTTTAGTTCTTCTGATTTCGTCGGTTTAGATATAATTCTATTTTCAATAAGTTTTTGCAAAATTTATAATAATAAATCAAATCAGTTTATTCACCATAAAAGGACATTCACATAGTGAAAGCCACTTATCAGGCTGGTCAAGTTTAAACAATATTAAAATTTTTAAAAACAATTATCTTATATTATTAAAAGAAACATACAATTTAAAATTTAGAAAATTACCTGATTAACAGATTATGATACCTTCATTGTGTAGTTCAAGAATTGAGGAACTTATCAATATTGTAAAATGTGTTATTTTAGAGGAAGTTAATAATTTTATTCTTTATGCTGTTCCTTGGGCCAATAAGCGTTTTCATTTTATTGAAACATTTAACCCCTATATAATTGGAAGAATTCTGACTCACTCTCAGTCTTGAGAAGGGTGCATGAATGTTATCATTATGACTGGTGTTACGAGGTGTGGCAATTAACGAGAATTTTAAATTTTAAAACATTTATTTAATATTTACAATGATTTATGCACCCATGCCTGCACAGTACTCTCCTCCGAGTCTAACACACTTCGTCTAGCGTTCTTCCCATTTTTAGAAGCACCTCTGGAATCCAGAAGGTGGGTTCTTCAACACCGACGTTACGGCACGTTTAATGTCCTCCAAATCCTTATAGCGATGTCGTTTCATTGGTTCCTTCAACTTTGGAAATAACCAAAAGATCTAATAATACCATACCTGATAATATGAACCTTGAAGACTCTTTCGCTTCTTGTGGCAGTGAAGTATCAAATCTGTTTGCCAAGCATTTTTCATCAGTTTACACTAATCAAAATCTAAATCAAAATTTTAACGATATCGAATCAAAACTTAATGTTTCCTCTTACCACATTCCTATTTCGACCATTTACGAGAAATTATCTAATCTTGACATAAAGAAAGGTCCAGGTCCTGACATTATTCCTCCCATCCTACTCAGAAATTGCAGCTTCGTATTGTCTCGCCCTCTCTTCTATATTTTCAATAAATCTATCGCCACAGGTGAGTTTCCAGATTATTGGAAACTATCTTATGTCACTCCAATATACAAATCGGGTAGCAAGTCAGACGTCAAAAATTACCGACCTATATCTATTCTCAGTACTGTACCCAAGGTTTTTGTGAACATTATAACAGACTACCTTACCTATGACTGCTCTGGTATCATAACGGATCATCAATATGGTTTTTGTGCTTGGAAATCGACTGAATTAAATCTAGTTACCTACGTCGACTTCCTGTCGGAAGCTTTGGAGAAGGGTTGTCAGATTGATTCTGTGTACACTGACTTTTCTAAGGCTTTTGACAGGGTTAACCATTCTCTCTTACTTCAAAAGCTCGATAAATATGGCATAAATGGGGTCTTACTGCAATGGATTAGTAGCTATCTTACGAACAGAACTCAAATGGTTGGAGTAAACCATCACTATTCAAACTCATTTCAAATTACCTCAGGTGTTCCTCAAGGATCACACCTTGGTCCTCTATTATTCAACTTATTTATAAATGACATCATTCATTGTTTTTAGTATGGCAAAGCACTATTGTTTGCAGATGATTTAAAAGTTAGCTAAATTATTTAATTTAATTTCGCGCATGCGCAATACACTTTTCCACTTTTGTAAAATGTTTTTGGACAAGTCAACTTTTCAGATTAGTTCACCTGGGTTGTTTGTGGTCTTTTCCAAACGACCCATCACTATTTTTTTAGACTTAATAAAATCAAAACGAAAAATATTTAAATGTTTATAAATTTGTTATTTTTTACAGGTTATCGAGCGTCAGTCGCTCAAGTACCTCCAGCAACATAGGTAAAGATCTTTCGTATACCTGAGTAGCAGTGAACATCTGCAGAACCATATCGACAACCTTCTGCAGACAAGAACGAAGTGATATAGATAACGCTATAGTGGAGTACGTCTGAATTGTAAAAGATTTTCTGTTATAGTTGATGACCTTAAGGTGATATAGGAGTCCAAATTATTTGTTATTTTAAATATTAACATGACAAGAGTTGTAGAATTTGTGATAAGACTGAAGACAACACTTACATCATTATAGTATACTTAATAAGAAAGTGAGAATTGTTATTTTGAAGTATAATCCATTTTTTTAGCGTTCATATAAATATATAGTTTTTTCTTCTTGCTCCTTTGGAACTTGTTTTCTTTGAGTACTAAATTCATTGTTTCTAAAGAAATATGATTTTTTTATTTCAATTTAATGGATAATACTTAGCTTAGAAAGAATCCTAAATAATCACTACTACATTTGACATTATCAGAGACAAAAAGAAGAGTAATTTAAGATTTTAGCAAAATCATATTGAATGAGAAATATCAACGTTTCTTTTCCATTTGTATAATGTATTTTTCTGTTAACATTAACTGATTTTTATTACTTTTACGCAGGTGTTTTTTTGTATTCGTTCTAAATATGAAGAATTATTTATTATATAGTTTGTTTTGAACAAGGATAATGTCCTAATCATAGTAGAACTTTTATTTATTTGTATAAAAATATTTCGAAATTAAATTATTTTTAGTTTATTAAAAATTGGAATTTATTTTTATTTTTGATCGATATTTAAGTTTCTACACTTTAATTTTCATAGTATCTAAAATATTCGGCATTATTTCTAAATTTCTTGCGAAATAATGAAACGAAAAATAATGGGTAGTATACTTGGATAAGAAGTCGTGAAATAATTTGAGAAAATAGTAATGTACGTAACAATTCTGGAAAATAATGTGTTTTCGGACGAGCTGTATTGCCTTTCTAGGCATAAAAGTCGTATCTAGATTTTTAATGTATAAAATGATCTGCATTGAAAACTAATTGTCATACATCTACAAACTCGGCTGTATTTTTAAACAGAAACATTATTACTCCTATTCAAAATCGATTTTTATGCTTAGGGTAGTATAGGTAAATTTCCAGAGGCGTTACATATATTATTTTTTCGGCAACCATAAAGAATATCAAATCAATGAAGACAGAAAAAATTGTTTTCTGCTAATTCAGCTCCGATTAAGACATCGGTGAATTTAATGAACAATGAGATCAAGTTTATCAATAAATTTTGGTATGGTGGACATTTTTTCTATTGCACATTTATTACTATTATCTATCCAATTAAAAGATATAGTGTTAAATATTATATAAAACATGCAATTATAAAAATCCAAGTGTTTTTAACCGTTATTAATTTTGCTAATAGAAATCAAAAAAATCTTCATTAATATTGTTTAAGTATTATTATTGTTATTTCCCTAATGTGAAACTGTAAATATGCTTATTTAATGTAATTAATATCAATGTAATATATAGTTTCCATAGACTTTTATTTAATTTTTATAGTCATTGTAACTAAAATGCTACCATATTATTTGTAAAAAATAAATGTTGTGAAATTAATTAAATCTGTTTATATAGAAAATTGTTTGTTTGTCCTCTGCTCATAAATTCAATTTGACAGAAAAATCGAGTACGGTTTTTCGGGATCCATTCGTAATATTACTAATGGTTTGATTTAATTACAAGTGGTCAATCGATTAATCAAAAATAATCGATTGTGCGTGCGTAAGTGCGTGCGTGGGTGCGTGTGCGTGAATGTGTGCGTGGGTGCGTGCGTGCGTGTGTGTCTCAAGCTAGAGACGAAAGGGAAACAGCAACCTAATGTATCTGCCCTGCTCTACATCTGTGCTTATTTACAAAGTAATTGAATAATTAGTTACTGAGAAAAACGAAGAAAACATTAAACGGTTATAGAAACGAAGCAACCGAGTCCGCCCTGTAATTTGTCTTGCTTTCTTTTATAGGTACCCAAATGTGCATCAAAATCTGAGGAAAAAAAATTTTGACCAAAAAATTATGAAGGCTATATAACCATTTCGATTTTTCTCGAAAAATTCATGGTCTCCGATTGAGCTGAAAATCGGACAGTGGACAGTATGCGCTCTAAAACGTTAAGAAAAAACGTCCGTTTCTCGCTAACCGAAATGGTCAAAAAGTAGAGGCATGTTTTGTGATAATAAGCAAACTTAGAGAAATGCAACTACCTTTTTTCAAACGTACTTGTCTTTTATTTACTGCATACAACGTTTCGTCCAAATCGGAGCAACTTTTTCCAACTTTTGAACGAAGAGAGATATTGAGCAACAGACACCACTCCGACATTACGTTTTTCATTCTGATTCTCTGTACCAAATTTAAGCGAAATCGAAGACGAAAAAATTTTAATGCAAAAATTTTTGAAGTCTATACCCTTTCGATTTTTCTCGAAAAATTCATGGTCTCCGATTGAGCTGAAAATCGGACAGTGGACAGTATGCGCTCTAAAACGTTAAGAAAAAAACGTCCGTTTCTCGCTAACCTAAATGGTCAAAAAGTAGCGGCTTGTTTTGTGATAATTAGCAAACTTAGAGAAATGCAACTACCTTTTTTCAAACGTACTTGTCTTTTATTTACTGCATACAACGTTTCGTCCAAATCGGAGCAACTTTTTCCAACTTTTGAACGAAGAGAGATATTGAGCAACAGACACCACTCCGACATTACGTTTTTCATTCTGATTCTCTGTACCAAATTTAAGCGAAATCGAAGACGAAAAAATTTTAATGCAAAAATTTTTGAAGTCTATACCCTTTCGATTTTTCTCGAAAAATTCATGGTCTCCGATTGAGCTGAAAATCGGACAGTGGACAGTATGCGCTCTAAAACGTTAAGAAAAAACGTCCGTTTCTCGCTAACCTAAATGGACAAAAAGTAGCGGCTTGTTTTGTGATAATTAGCAAACTCAGAGAAATGCAACTACCTTTTTTCAAACGTACTTGTCTTTTATTTACTTCATACAACGCTTCGTCCAAATCGGAGCAACTTTTTCCAACTTTTGAACGAAGAGAGATATTGAGCAACAGACACCACTCCGACATTACGTTTTTCATTCTGATTCTCTGTACCAAATTTAAGCGAAATCGAAGACGAAAAAATTTTAATGCAAAAATTTTTGAAGTCTATACCCTTTCGATTTTTCTCGAAAAATTCATGGTCTCCGATTGAGCTGAAAATCGGACAGTGGACAGTATGCGCTCTAAAACGTTAAGAAAAAACGTCCGTTTCTCGCTAACCTAAATGGTCAAAAAGTAGCGGCTTGTTTTGTGATAATTAGCAAACTCAGAGAAATGCAACTACCTTTTTTCAAACGTACTTGTCTTTTATTTACTGCATACAACGTTTCGTCCAAATCGGAGCAACTTTTTCCAACTTTTGAACGAAGAGAGATATTGAGCAACAGACACCACTCCGACATTACGTTTTTCATTCTGATTCTCTGTACCAAATTTAAGCGAAATCGAAGACGAAAAAATTTTAATGCAAAAATTTTTGAAGTCTATACCCTTTCGATTTTTCTCGAAAAATTCATGGTCTCCGATTGAGCTGAAAATCGGACAGTGGACAGTATGCGCTCTAAAACGTTAAGAAAAAACGTCCGTTTCTCGCTAACCTAAATGGTCAAAAAGTAGCGGCTTGTTTTGTGATAATTAGCAAACTCAGAGAAATGCAACTACCTTTTTTCAAACGTACTTGTCTTTTATTTACTGCATACAACGTTTCGTCCAAATCGGAGCAACTTTTTCCAACTTTTGAACGAAGAGAGATATTGAGCAACAGACACCACTCCGACATTACGTTTTTCATTCTGATTCTCTGTACCAAATTTAAGCGAAATCGAAGACGAAAAAATTTTAATGCAAAAATTTTTGAAGTCTATACCCTTTCGATTTTTCTCGAAAAATTCATGGTCTCCGATTGAGCTGAAAATCGGACAGTGGACAGTATGCGCTCTAAAACGTTAAGAAAAAACGTCCGTTTCTCGCTAACCTAAATGGTCAAAAAGTAGCGGCTTGTTTTGTGATAATTAGCAAACTCAGAGAAATGCAACTACCTTTTTTCAAACGTACTTGTCTTTTATTTACTGCATACAACGTTTCGTCCAAATCGGAGCAATTTTTTCCAACTTTTGAACGAAGAGAGATATTGAGCAACAGACACCACTCCGACATTACGTTTTTCATTCTGATTCTCTGTACCAAATTTAAGCGAAATCGAAGACGAAAAAATTTTAATGCAAAAATTTTTGAAGTCTATACCCTTTCGATTTTTCTCGAAAAATTCATGGTCTCCGATTGAGCTGAAAATCGGACAGTGGACAGTATGCGCTCTAAAACGTTAAGAAAAAACGTCCGTTTCTCGCTAACCTAAATGGTCAAAAAGTAGCGGCTTGTTTTGTGATAATTAGCAAACTCAGAGAAATGCAACTACCTTTTTTCAAACGTACTTGTCTTTTATTTACTGCATACAACGTTTCGTCCAAATCGGAGCAACTTTTTCCAACTTTTGAACGAAGAGAGATATTGAGCAACAGACACCACTCCGACATTACGTTTTTCATTCTGATTCTCTGTACCAAATTTAAGCGAAATCGAAGACGAAAAAATTTTAATGCAAAAATTTTTGAAGTCTATACCCTTTCGATTTTTCTCGAAAAATTCATGGTCTCCGATTGAGCTGAAAATCGGACAGTGGACAGTATGCGCTCTAAAACGTTAAGAAAAAACGTCCGTTTCTCGCTAACCTAAATGGACAAAAAGTAGCGGCTTGTTTTGTGATAATTAGCAAACTCAGAGAAATGCAACTACCTTTTTTCAAACGTACTTGTCTTTTATTTACTTCATACAACGCTTCGTCCAAATCGGAGCAACTTTTTCCAACTTTTGAACGAAGAGAGATATTGAGCAACAGACACCACTCCGACATTACGTTTTTCATTCT